AAAGAAAAGAAAAGAAAAGAAAAGAAAAGAAAAGAAAGGGCAATAAGAACAAAACCTAACTTTATTACTCAACCTCTTCTGCCTTTCCAGAGAGATTAGGATTATTGTTAGTATTCCTCAGGAACAAGCTTCTAACTCAGATGATATTTATTTTACTAGTTCCTGACGCTGAAATCCACAGCGGCTTAGGCCACTGACTCCGATTTTAACAGCTACAAGTGGAGCTTGCAGCCAGCACCCAGCCGCACTGGAGTGACAGGATAGGAAGCACAGCACAGGGAGGTTCAACATTTACATGTTGTCCTCTGGGTGCTGGTAACTCAGATCCCAAAGCTAATAGGATGCTGTTAGTGTCTTTAAACTGTACATAAGCATGGCTTCAGTCTGAAGGCATTTAGCGACTGGAAACGTGGGCACTAGATAAAAACTCCAAATAGAAGGGATATGATCATAGTATTTGTAAACGACTTCCGGCAAGAGGTATACAGCTCAGCAGCAGAGTACCTGCCTAGCAGGTGCGAGGCTTTGGCTTCAATTCCCAGCACTACATAAACAAGCATTTATATGTCATGTATGGGAAGACCTAAGTGTGGCTCTAGCTCTAAAGGCTCACACTGGACCTGCTGAATCAGCAGGTTTGTCATGCGTTGAGGTTTAGGGACCACCGTTCTGAAAGATGTTCACAAAGGATGGAGTGGCACAAGCCAGAGTGTAAACCTTATACACACAGGGAACCGAGGCCACGCAGAACGTCGCTCTACCTGCATCTGTGCTCTTCTCTTACGCAGGACATGAAGAACGCAACGCTCTCTCTGAATCCCAGTGAAAGCGAGCCAAAGCACTACCCTGTGGAAGTTCTGCTGAAAGGTCAGAACCAGGAGCTGCCTGAGGGTGTGGACCCTGCCAAAAAGGAGGTGAGTGGTTTTGCGACTGAACGTGGGGGCGGAGCTCCCACAGGTGAAGGATGCAACTGAACGTGGGGGCGGAGCTCCCACGGGTGAAGAATGCAACTGAACGTTGGGGGGGCGGAGCTCCCACGGGTGAAGCACAGAGCTAGGAGCAAATCAGGCTCGCTGCGGGAACTCAAGGGGCCTCTGAGCTACTGAGTCAACTTAAGGGCTACTCCTTGGATTTTTTCCTCCTCCTGCAGGAATCCATCTGGTAGCCTCTGTATACCTGTCTGTCACCTCAGTACTGCTAGCCTAGTTCAGCCACCATGCACTACCGTGAACTAACCTGTTTCCCCTCCATTCCCCAAATCCTTCCCTAGTATAACTGTAAGTAATAGCCAGGGATTTCCCAAAAGCTCTATTTAAACCACATGAGGGCCGGAGAGATGGCTCAGCGGTTAAGTGCATTAGACGTTCTTCCAGAGGTCCTGAGTTCAATTCCCAGCAACCACGTGGTGACTCACAACCATTTACAGTGAGTTCTGACACCCTCTTCTGGCACACAGATATACATGCAGGTAGAACACTCATACACATAAATCTTTAACAAACAATAGTTAAAAATTAAATAAAAAATAAAACACTGCATGGGCTGGCAGGATGGGTCAGTGGGTTAAGGTGTTTGCCATCAAACATAAACCTAAGTTCGACACCCAGGACCCATGAGAGGAGAGAACTGAGTCCATAAGTGTCCTCTGATCCCCAGATGCATGCCTCCCACATACACACACTAAATATAGAAATACAGAAAACTTTAAAACACCTCAGATGGCTTCCCACTGTACTTACAAAAGACTTCAAAGGCCTCCTCAGTGTGGCGCTGCCCCTGGAGGACCTCACATATCCTCTTCCTTATCACCCTTCAGCCAATGCCTGCTTTTTATCTCTTGAACAGGCTTACCTCAGCCAGGGAGTCTTTTGCTTGCTGGCATTCCTGTGTGAGAGAGCCAGCTGTTTGTAGAGTTCACCTCTGGCCGGCTTTCCTTGACTGCCAGTTTCCTAACTCTATTCCCCTGATGAGCTCTTCCCCACAACACACGCTCCCCTTGCGTTCCTTCATTCCTGGGTTAGGTTTTAGTTAAACGAATTAACATATTCATGTCGAATGGACAGATGAACGAGTGGATTTTCCCCTTGAAAGAGCTGCTTAAAGGACTCTGACTTTTCCGTAATGTCTTCCCTAGCCAAGTCTTAAGCATCTAGACTACGATGTTCTCAGAAGCAGAGGCCGCAGGTCAGTTGAGCTTGGTGGCTCATGACTGTAATCCCAGCACTATGGGGACCGAGGTAGGAGGGTCACCACAGTTTCTAAGCAAACCTGGGCTATGCAGTGAGTTCTGTGATAGCCTGGGCTATGGTAAGATGCTGTCTCAGAAAATAATAATAATAAAGGTCATAGCTTAGATCTCCACAAGGACACTGCACTGGAATGTTCTTCTCCAACTCACATTTTAAGGATCCTGGAGTACTCGGGGTACAGTGCAGTGGTAGAGCACATTCTCAGGTTCCTCAGAGAGCAGTCCTGGGTTCACCCCCTAGCACCAAAACTAAGTATTCAACAAGAATGGTAGTTAGGGCTTAAAGCAAGACAAATACTCCATCATCCATCCGTCCAAAATCAAATGTTTATAATTCATCCATAATGTATAATCCATTCACTGACTATCAGGCAAGGGGCCAGGAACGAATGGAAACCCCAGCCAGTCTACATCCACTGGCTCAATGGGCCTCCATGGCCAAGGAACAAGGTTTGTTTCAGCCCTCCTCTCCCAGGGCCAACCTATCTATCACTCGACTATGGTTCTAGGGCTCTCGTCCCCTAGCAAGCTTGTGTGCCCAGGCAAGCACACGGCCATGCAGCTCCTCCCCCTGCCCCCCTCCCTCCAGCACACTTGCAGGCATTACTGAAATACACTGTCTTCTTTCTCACCACAAATTCTGTTTTCTCAGAATTACCTCTCGGAACAAGACTTCGTATCTGTGTTTGGCATCACGAGAGGGCAGTTTGCTGCTCTGCCTGGCTGGAAACAGCTCCAGCTGAAGAAAGAAAGGGGCCTTTTCTAGGGCAAGGCGTGTGACTGCTGCCACCCGACCACAGGAGAGAACAATCGCACAGTGCCAACATCAGCAGAGAGCTCACCTACCAACTGAGCCCAACGAGGCTGCTTCAGATAGACCTCAAGATCACATGTTCTCTCTTAAATTCATCCTTGCTTTTCTTAGTTGCTATACACTAGATGCTGACTGCTTGCTTTTTGGCTTTTGCGGTCCTTTAGCTAAAGCTGTAGCAGAGAGTGTGAAGGCAGAAAGTGGAGAGAACTAGGAAACTAACACGTCAGGTCCCACATCTGCTTCCAGCTATACCTTGCAATCCCCAAAGCGGTGGAGTTACCATACACTCCCTGCAGGCCGGGCTCCAAATGCCCAGGTCTACCGTGTGCCACAGCATGTTCAACTTTTCAAATAAAGAGGCCATATGACCACATTTCGGTGCTGAGAAAATAAAAAGGCAATCTTGAAGCTGGGCCTTGGTCCCAAACCTCTAACCCCAGCTTTCAGCTCAGCTGGGGTAGAAACACAGTTGTGAGTTCAAGGCCTGCTTGGGCGACAAAGAAAAATTCAAGGCAGAGCTGAGTAACTTAGAAAGACCCTCTTGCCGGGCGGTGGTGGCACACGCCTTTAATCCCAGCACTTGGGAGGCAGAGGCAGGCGGATTTCTGAGTTTGAGGCCAGCCTGGTCTACAGAGTGAGTTCCAGGGCAGCCAGGGCTACACAGAGAAACCCTGTCTTGGGGTGGGGGGGGGAGGGGAAGACCCTCTCTTGATTTTTTTTTTAAAGTGCAGTGTTGGGTGGAAGAAATGGTTCAGGGGTTAAGACCACCCAGTGCTCTTGCAGAAGACTCAGGTTTAGTTCCCAGCCCCCACATGGTGGCCCACAATCACTTGTAACTCCGGTTCCACGGGATCCAATGTCCTCTTCTGTAATAGGCATGTGCATGGTACACATGAACACATGCAGGCAAAACACTCATAAGTGTGTGTGTGTGTGTGTGTGTGTGTGTGTGTGTGTGTGTATAAAAGTAGCTGGGTGGTGGTGGTGCACACCTTTAAACCCAGCCCTTGGGAAGGCAGAGGCAGGCAGATCTGTGTGAGTTCAAGGCCAGCCTGGTTTACACAGTGAGTTCCAGAGGAGCCAGGGCTACACAGAGAAACCCTACCTCTAAAAACCATAAAAATAAAAAAAATAGGTAAAAAAAAAATGGAAGGAAAGAAGGAAGGAAGGAAGGAAGGAAGGAAGGAAGGAAGGAAGGAAAAGAGAAAAATAAAAGACAGGTAGTAGCTGGCTGGCACAGGCCTTTAATCCCAGCTCTCGAGAGGCAGAGGCACATAGATCTGTGAGTTCGAGGCCCAGCCTGGTCTACAGAGCTAGTTTCAGGACAGCTAGAGGCATACAGAGAGAAACCATTTAGAAAAAAAACAAAAAAACAAAACAAAACAAAACAAAAGAAAAAAGACAAGCACACATTTACCTCAGCAGAATGCCTGAAGTCCTGGTATAATCTCCAGCAACAAAGCAAATAAATAAAGGCAATGCTGAGAGAGCTGTGGTGGTAACTGGATCAGTGTCATTCCCATCTGCCTCAGACCTAGCCACCCACACCCGCTTCATGGGTACATACCAGCGTATGCATGCACCACTACAGAGAGCATGGTGACGTAGTCAACAAAGGAACCCACATCTCCCGGACAAGTCTCGCACACGTCAACAAGTGTGAGATCCAGATGACAGCAAACACTGCTGGGGAAGTTCCAGGGAGGATACATGGTTCAAAATGTCACAGAGTGAAAGCAGAGTGAGAGATCTTTATCACAGGAACACGACAGTGTGTGAAGAACTTCCAGAACTACATAACAGACTGACAGAGGCTGAGGACTGGGGAGACAGCTTATTGGTAAAAGTGCTTACTTACTACACAAGCCTGGCATGTGTGCACACACACTCACACACTCACACACATACACACAGTTTTTTCAAAATTTAAAAAAAGTATTGTGCAAATGAGAAAGTTTGCTTTATTACATTGCCATTTAATAACTTTACCCATGATATATCACTTCATCTTAGAAGAAAAAGAAACAAATTTGAGGGTTGAAGAGGTTTAGAAAATAACTCCTTATAAGGGATCCAGATGTAAAAATTAAATATTTCCATTTAGGCCAAAAACCTATTCAGCCTCAGCTCCCTGTTCACTTTCTCCACATTCGAAGCGCACAAAGTCCACTACGGTCACGCCCTGGGGCTGCACGTACTGTCCCAGTGTAATGGAAGGATCCAGGAGGTACGGCTGGGGCAGCATCCTGGTCTCTGTCTCCCCTCCGGGCTCATCATCCAGGGAGCCCACAGAGAGAGGGGCCATGCCCACCACGTGCTGCCCCAAGCGGCGGCCAACCTCCTCCAGGTTTGAGATCTGCTCAGGGGTCTCGCAGACGACCAGGGCCCCATACTTCCCCAGCTCCAGGTTCTGGAGGGAGGGGCTCTGCATCGCTCCGTGCACGTAAGAGCCGACATAGAACCCCGAGGGCACCTTCACCCAGGCAGCTCGCTTCAGAGTCATGTTCTCTCCCAGGTTCCCTACAAAAGAGCATGAACAAGACAACGACCCCTGGATTGTGGTGCCTATGGCAGCACCCACATGAAATGCACATGGTGACCTTTCTGTCCTCGAAGTCAATCTGCACAGTGATAAGAAGACACCAGCCTCAGCCTGTGTTTAAGGAGGAGGGAGAGGAGCAGAGCCTCTCAAGGAGTACTCTAGTTAAGACAGGCTGGCTGTCACAGGCCAAACTCATGGTTCTGCCTTCCCTGGTTCTGGGACCTTGGGCGTTTATCAACTGCCAAGCCTTGGTTTCCTCCTCTATATGATGGAAATGATACGACCCACCTTTCACCGGGAGAAATAAAGAAGATGGCCCATGTAAGAAGCATGTATTGTGGTGTCTCATGGAGAGTGGGCACTCAGAACCTGGCTATTCATCACACTACACTCAGGCTGAGAGAATCAACTGACCCACATGACAGTACTAGGCATCGTTGGAGTCACAACTCAAAGCTGACTCCAAACCCGCCCCTCCATCACCAAATCACTCTGGAAAGCACACCCACAGCTGACAAAACTCCTATCACCAACAGCATCTGTAACCGAATGCTCTAGGAAATCCAAGCCCAGCCGCCGACAGTCCCAGTCCGCCACTCTTCCAAAGTACAGACATTCTCTAACATTCTCATAGATAGAAAAGGTCCTAGTTTTCTCCCGTTTGCCCAGGATCCCCTTCCAAGAGAAGCTTAAATAAACCAAGGCAAGGAAGGGATGTGAGGGAAACGGCAGGGTCTCAGGAAGACACAGGTTAGATACAGTTACAGCTAGAGGCCATTCGGAGGAAGATCCAGAAATCAGGTAAAGAGCCCCGTTTCTTCCAGGATCCTTCACACAGCTTTTGGCTTGGGTGCTCACTGTGACTCACCAGACAGAACTAGAGATTACCATGTGAAAATGACTACGCCTTGACTAAAAGCTGCAGACCACAGACAATTCCCAGCAACTCCAACCCAGCCTGCTTTCTCCCTCCCTCAGGACATGTGGAAAGAGAGCAAGATCGTCAGTCGCTGTAGCCCCACAGTGACCGGAACACGGTTCCCCCACAGTGGCTTCTATAGACATGCACCTTCATAAACTCACTGTCCAATTCCTAAAGCAGATGATCTTCGATTTTCTTTAGAAGGGAAAGATTTTTAGACAGTGGACAGGGGTGAGTGGTGAATGCCTTTTCTCCCAGCACTCCGGAGGCAGAGGCCAGAGGCAGAGGTAGATGGATCTCTGTGAGTTCAAGGTTAGCCTGGTCTACAGAGTTCCAGAACAGCCAGAGCTACACAGTGAAACCCTGTCTTTAAATAAAACACACACACACACACCTCAAATACTTTAATTTTATGTATAGGGTGTTTTGACTGCCCTAATCCTAACACTCTGTGAACCACATGCATGCAGTGCCCTTGGAAGTCAGAATCCCTTGAACTTGTGTTAGAGATGTTCACTAGTCCAAGTTGGTGCTAGGAATCAAACCATGGCCCTCTGGAAGAACAGCCAGGGCTCTTAACTGCTGAGCCATCACCCAGCCCTTAAATTTTCTTCTCCACCTTTAGTGAGCTTTTCTCTACACCACACACAGTGGTCAGCTGGAGGGTGGCGAGCCTGCCCCTCTCCGCCTCTGTGCAGTTGGCACAGGGATGAGATAATCTTAACTAGTTGCAAGCCATTGAAAACCATGAGAGTGAGTTTATAAGTCTACATTCCTTTATGGAATTCAGGATTCTGATAGAGAGAACTCCAGCTCCCTCAGTACACTAACCGGTTACACTCGGGGACCGCCCCGCCCTTCGTGCTTCATGGTGTCTGCTGCTCTCCAGAAAGACCAACCCATATCCCCATAGTCTTGCCCTCAGCAGCACATGAGCTTGTGATTCTCTTATTTGTTGAGAGGTGTGTGCATGCTTATGACATGTTTCCACTGTATCTGTTCCTTCTCCCTGTCCAACGGCTGAGCTGACATCCCAGCTGCTGAATGAGATGTGGAGGAACACCAAGGATACCAGGGAAACCCGACTGTAACTTCCCAGAACCCTCAGACACTCACCTATCGCTAAGGCCAGCTGATCCTTGAGAGAGCCTTCCCTGTCGGGCCCAGCTGCAAGGGCGGAGAGCTCAGAGGAGTTGAGGAAGCCCTGCGTACAGGAGACAAGTGTGAGCTGGCTCTGACGGATGAAATCACCCAAACAACAGGCAGAAAGAGCTGAGACCTGGGGAAACGCTTGAGACGACCATCTATAAATAGATGAAACTTCCACTAAGCCAAGAATGTTAAAAATTGATAACTCGGGCACGCTTATAAATATCTTACTCTACTACTGCACCCCCCCCTCCATTAGACTCTCATCTTCTGGCCCTACCTTTGTAGGAGTTCCTAGAAACAGGAGTGGGATTTTTACACAATCATAAAATATCCACACCAGAGGACTTGTGCAGCGTTGCCAGGAATGCACAACAAAGCACACTCGAAGGAAGGGGTGGAGCAGAGCCCATCTGTGCATGCGGCCTTCAGCTCTGCGGTTCTAGGCTGGATGCTGGAGGATGCCTTTCCTTTTTTAGTACTGTTTTTGGGGACAGGGTCACATTCTGCAATCCTGAAAGACTTGGAAAAACAATGCAGCCCAAGCTAATCTCAAACTCCCAGAAATCCTCCTGCCTCTGCCTCTTAAATGCTGGGATTACAGATATGCATCACTACAGCCAGCTTGATGATGAACTTTCAAAGATACAAAAGCACGAATTCTTTAAAAGCACATATACATAAGAGTGTCCATTGAACAAGTATTTCTAATCATTAAAGTCTGGGAATAACCAAATACCCAAACACAGGAGGCTGGCTGAATAAACCACGGCACACTGTACAAAGGATAGTGAATATGGTAGAACGTGGTAGTGAACATGCTAGAACATGGCAGTGAACATGATAGAACATGCCTTAATCCCAGCACTTGGGCGGTGGGAACAGAAGGATGAGAAGCTCAGAGCTAACCAAGGCTACAGTGTGGTCAAGGCTGTGTGAGACACTGCTACAGGCTGTTTCCATGATACACAAGTGAAAAGCAAGTCTACATGTCACCATCAGTACCTGACACAAATGTTTATTACAGTGCTGTAATAAGAAATGATGAGAAGTAAAATGACAGCCGGTGAGCCTGCTTATCCTCAGAAATAGTTAATAGTGGGGACTTGGGGGTGTGGAGCAGAGGCCCTGTGGTTACGAGCACCTGCTGCTCTTCTAGAGGACCCTGGTTCAGTTCCCAGCACCCACATGGTGATAACTCCAGCTCCAAGGGACCCAGTGCCCTTCCTGGCCTTTGAGAACACTGTACACACTAAACAAGAAAGAGAACAGGGTCAAGACTGAGAGAGAATTCCGTGGTTGAGAGCACATGGCTGCTCCTCCGAGGACCTAAGTTCAGTCCCCAGACCCCATGTGGCAGCTCACAGCCATGTGACTCCGGCTCTAGGGATCCAGCATCCTCTTGGAACCTTTGTGGGCAGCCATGTGCATACGAATAAATAAATATATAAAGCTTACATATAATAAAAGGTACTAACATTTGAAAGGGAGAAGGAGGGAGCCAGAGAGCCAGCGAGGCAGCTCAGTGGTAGGGGCATGTGCTGACAAGCCAGACACCCGGAGTTGTCACAGAGGACCCCTGCAAGTTCCCCTCTGACTTTTGTGCCCACTCATACATACCAGTGCTATGATGTGATGATACAGATGTTTTCTTAAATCGACAAGACATCTCTTATCTTTTTGTTTATTGGTTTTTCGAGACAGGGTTTCTCTGTGTAGCCCAGGCTGTCCTGGAACTCACTCTGTAGACCCGGCTAGCCTCAAACTCAGAGATCCACCTGCCTCCTGCCTCATGAGTGCTGGGATTAAAGGCATGGGCAACCAGGTCCACCAAAATAATGCCAATGCATTTAATTCATTATTTGTATACTGTTGAATTCAAGTTTGATATTTTTCTGTATGGTTTTTGTTTTTAAAGAATTATTTACTATATGTATATGAGTACACTGTAGCTGTCTTCAGACACACCAGAGGGGGGCATCAGATCCCATTACAGACAGTTGTGAGCCACCATGTGGTTGCAGGGAATTGAACTCAGGACCTCAGGAAGAACAGTCAGTGCTCTTAACCATTGAGCCATCTCTCCAGCTTGTTTCTTTTGTTTTTGTTTTGAGACAAGGTCTCACTGTATAGCCTGTTTTGTGTGTCTGTCTGTCTGTCTCTCTTTTCTTTGAGAGTTCCTGTAAGTCTGTCATTCATGTGATATTTTGAATTATGAATCTGTGGTTTCTTGCAGGGCGGTGGTGGTACATGCTTTCAATCCTAGCACTTGGGAGGCAGAGGCAGGCGGATTTCTGAGTTGGAGGCCAGCCTGGTCTACAGTGTGAGTTCCAGGACAGCTAGGGCTACACAGAGAAACCCTGTCTCAAAAAACAAAACAAAACAACCAATGACTCTGTGGTTTCTGATTGGCTGGAGCTGAACAATCAGCCTGTGATAAACAAGACTGAGCACCACTGACCGAAAGCTTTGCTTTACTGGGACAGTCGATTCTGTCTAGCTGGGACTGAGAGAACAGCATGGCTGAGGTGAGATCTGGGAAGTGTTTCCTCGGGGTTATCACGTTAGGTGGCATGGGCTGCATCCCCAACGCCCACATCAAAAGACAGCACGTGTCTGCCATCTAGCAGTGGGGTGGCAGTAGTCTTTCTGAAACTCGCTAGCCAGTCTGGCTAAATGGGTGAGCTCTAGGTTCACTGAGAAACGAGAAACCCTGTCCCCAAAAATGATGGAGGCCAAGTACAGTGGCTCATCCCTTTAATTCCAGAGTTCAAGAGGCAGAGTTCTGATATGAAATGCAAATAAAACATCCAATAAAAAAAAAAAAAGGCAGAGTTCCTTTGTGAGTGTGAGGCCAGCCTGGTCCCAGACAAGAGACAAGCCAGGCCTACATAGAGAGATCCTGTCCCCAAAAAAAAAGAAAGAAAGAAAGAGAGAAAAAGAGAGAGAGCGAGAGCGAGCAAGCAGGCACGCATGCACTTGGGAGGCAGAGGCCAGCCTGGTCTACAGAGTAAGTTACAGGACAGCCTAGGCTACACAGAGAAACCCTGTCTCAACCCCTTCCCCACTCAAAAAGAGAAGTGTAGCTCATTGGTAGAGCAGTGTGCACAAGTTCCTGGGTTCAACCCTCAATTACTTACCCCAAAAAGGTAAAGAAAAAAAAAAAAAGAACAGGAGTCTTAAAAAGTCTCCGAAAGCTGAAGACGACCTTCACGCTCACCTTACTGTACGTGGAGAGCTGATCCGTCAGGTTCTGACAGTGAGCCATGGTTCCCAGGGCTACTTGCTGGACCAACTGTTGAAATTTTAAATTTCTGGAGACGAAATCTGTCTCACAGTTTACCTGTGGGAATGCATGGATGTCGCTGTATAAGGCAGTCTACTAATAGTTTCTGAGTGTGACTTAACGTTGGAGACGGAAGCTGCCGATGGGGTGGGGAAGCCGGGGAAGGAGTTGGTCTCGGCCTGCATACCCAGGAGGATCCCAGAACACCCTGAAGGACTCACACCATGATCATTCCATCCACTGTCTTGTGAAAGGGTCTCCGGCTGGCTTTGAACTCGATAAGTAGCCCAGGATGACCTTGAGCTGACCTTCCCACCTCTAGCTAGGTACTAGAATTACACCCATGCACTACCATGCCCAACCCCGAAACCTCCTTTACTACCCCTGTTATCTCATTCCTTTATTGTTGCTTTATCTGGGTTTTCACACCTTGACCCTAGAGCCTCTTCTAAACCAGCTACTTATCAGTCATCAATGCACCGAGTAATACTTTACTACAATTACCAACTTTCTTATCTTTTTATTTTTGGAATAAAGGTCAGGATTTCACTTTGTAGCCTAGCTGCCCTCAAACTCACAGTAAATCCTCCTGCCTCAGCCCCTCCAAGTGTTGAGAATACAGGTGAGAGCTGCCACACCCTGCTACTAGTTTTTAAGTCTACCTGTAACAGCTAACAAGGCTGCACCGATTACATTTACGAGACATGATCTAGGTTGCTGGTCCATTTCCCATTCAGGCGCCTATGCATTTACATTCTTAAGCCCCCTCATATAACGGAGGTCTTGGGGACTTAGCTCCAACCACCGCTTACAGACTCCTTAAGCATGTGAAGGGTCCACCACAGACCGGCCGATCCAAGACACAGCTGTTTCTAGTATGTGGCATCCCAACAACGCACCTCTACTAAAACAGCTGTGTTTCCCTCCTGCAGGAGTCCAATCAAGCCTTCTTTGGTCTTCCTCCCGTGGAGTTTGGTGGCTTTGCTCCATCCTTCCTTCTTGGCCTGTTTGTGCAGCCAGTCCTCTGCCTACGAACGCAAAAGAAACCATAGGGGAAAGTCAGTCACAGGAACCAGACATGAATGGTACTTTAATATGTCCAAACCATGACTTTTCCTACACACCCACATTCTATAAACAAAACCACTAAACACTCTACACCGGGCTCTGGAGTAGCTGCTGCTGCTTCTCTGCCTTTCATCTTTTCCACCCCGCTACGGGATAGATGATAGTGTTTTCATTATACGGACAGACAACGCTGGCACAACAGGAAAGGATTCGTTGCAATCTCCAGAGTTACAGCGTGTGTGAGAGCCCCTGGAGTCTAACTTCAAGCATTTACACAAACACCGACCTCCAGGCAGCAGCAAATCCCACACCATTCTAACATGGAATCCAGCTAGTTGACTCTTGAGTTCTAGGTTAACCGCTTCCAGTGAAAACGAAGCCTAAGGGTAAAGCTATCGTTTAAGCCAAATCCTCCTCTTTGGGTTCTGTCGCTCAGGACACTGGGCAGCAGGTCACGTCTATGCTCCCCAGAGTGACCCCGGAAGGGAAGCCCGGGGTGGAGTCGCCCAGCACCCCCTCCCACCTGTCTGAGATCACCATCACAAGTCTCCAGAGCCTTCTTGCAGTTGACAAAGGAGTAGCCCGTTTTCCGCCGCAGCTTCATGAGGAGCTCCTTGCTGGAGGCAGATGACAACCAGGGGCCCGCGTGAAACGCGTGCCATGGTTGGAATGGCTGAAGCGGGACAGCCCTCGCCTGGGGAGAGAAGGAGAAAGGGATGAGCGTCCGGAGCGGGACGGGAGGAGAGGGAGCACTGTGCGCAGGCCAGGGTCGGGAGGAGAAGGGAAGGGCGCGCTCGCGGCGCCGGGAGCCCTCACCGAGCGGCCGGTGCAAGCGACCGGGAAGAAGCGCAGCGACCGCAGCAGCGACATCCCTCCGGTACGCCCGCCCACCCGCGCACAGACGAGACGCCGGCCTACGGCGTGGCGCGAGGGACAAAACGCCTCCCAGGACGCGTGGAGCGAGGATGCTGCCACCTGCAGGCCGGAGGAATGTAGCCGCTTCTTCTGCTTGCCTGATAAACTGTTTCACAAAAGACTTAGCGGGTAAAACTGCCCGATAAAGTTGCCACGACATAACAACACAAGACTTGTAGGTGATACTTTGTTTCTTTATTTCCAATGTACTTTCATTTTCATTATCCATTTATGACTCAGGACAAACCGCAGGTAGGTAGGTGGGCTCAGGAAATTGTCCAAGGTCACCCGGAGAAGCAGAGTTCCTTCAACAAACCCGATAAATAATTGCTGAATTAGCAAAATATCTGCTGAACACATGTGTGCCCGGAGCTGTTGCCAGTTTCGGGGGATCAGTGATGAATAAGTCATAGCTCTGCCCTCTAATGTATCTATTGGTCTGAGGAAATAAGAATCAGGTAAGGCAATATAAGGTCCTTAAACAGTTAAAAAGATCTTTGGACAAACCACATCCAAACAGAAAGCTCAGAAAAAGGAAGGGTTTTTTTGTTTGTTTGTTTGTTTTTGTTTGTTTGTTTGGTTGGTTGATTTGGTTTGGTTTGGTTTTTGTTTTTGTTTTTGTTTTTTTCAGAAGCAAAACATGAGTTTAGACAGAGAGCAAGGACCCTTCCTGAAAGGAATCATCTGGAAAGTGGAGAAGTCAGGGAATGCCGGCATAGAGTTAGGGAACAAAGAGTAAGGCTTTTGCAATTTGGCTAAAAGTGCAATACAAACAGAGTAGGAAATGAGACACAGATCATGGTCTAAGTATTAAGCAAAGACGTTTGTTCTTGCAGTAAAAGGCTAATTAGAGCAAGTTTTGGAAGATGGCAAGAGTTGGAGGCGTGGCATCAAGGGTAAGAGAACAGTAGCAGACACACCAAAGATGGTTGTGTGCCAGAAGGCTAAGCAAAAAGAGCCCTGGCCAGACTGCTCTAGAGGGAGAGAGACAAGAACCGAAGGCAAAACAAGAAGGAAAACTTGAATGTGGAAGGAAGAACTGGAGATTGGAAGAATCTAGAACCCAGTCCAGAATTTGGTATGTGATGCCAGTGATCAGGTCTTGAGCTTTGCAAAGGATGAAGAAGCTACAGCCCAAGGGGACATCTCTGATTCTCCTCCTGGGGCTCAGGTCTGGGAAGACTTGCCCTATCTGAGACTTTTATTTCAGCAGGTAAGAAACAGGTGTTCTGAGGTATCTCGGTACCCAGCTTTCTGGCAATAGCTACATGTTTGGGGATACAGAAGACATAATTATTGCTCATTTTTTCCCTTTAAAAATGTCAAAGAATGTGGCTTTTTAAAAGAGTCCTTGCCATTTAAAGAACTGGAAGTGATCAGTGGTGATCTCTCTGCAGGGGCTATTCGTACCGTTTCCCTCCCTTATTCCTAACTATCCTGAACACCTTCCTCTGAAGGCAGGTGTTGGGCGCTTTCTTTGTGCTTTAAACCCAAAGCTTCTGGGGCTCTGCCACTCCTAACAAGCAACCACCCTTCTGCATCTTCCCAAGAATAATTAGGGGAACCAAAGGGAAGCGGGAAGGAAGACGACGGGTGATCCATCTTTTTCTTTTTGTCCTGATGCTCACGGCTCTGGAGGGCTGCCATTCCTCAGACAAAAGTTGGGTCAACAGAAGGGGTGCTGTCCAGCAGGTGTCACCTCCCTGTGCCTGGCCCTATAGATGTTGACATTCACATCCTCATCCCGCTGGGCCAGCTCCAGGTGGAAGTGTTGGGGCAGGAGGCACTGAAAGAAGGTTTCCGCCCCATGTTCTGCTCTCATCTTGGAGGCCAGGTAGATGGTGCCGTGGGGCCCACACAGGTGTCGGAGGGTCCCCAACAGCATCGGGAAGGTAGGTTCCAGGTACACGATATCTGCCCCCAGCACCAAGTCATAGTTTCCAGGAAAGACATGCTGGTCAATTCCCCAGGACAAGGAGCATACCTGAGCCCGGCCTCCTGGTGGCACATTAGCGTGGACGTTATCCTGGATTTGCTCTAGGGCTAGTGGCAAATCAGTGATGGTAACATCCCCCCCTGAGGGAGAGTGGGGAGGAAAAATGCAAGTCAGAGACACCAAGACCGGACTCCCGACTCCTGCCTGGAGGGTCAGAGACCCTAAGGCCTCGTGTCTCCACAGCCCGAAGTCCATGCTTTGGCTTTTAGTTGACCTAACCTCCGTGTCACCCACGCCACTCTTGTTACTCTACATTCTACAACATCAACATTCTCTCTAAGCTAATCTTCAACCCCTCTGCCCAACACACAACAATCAGATGTCAGCAAAAGCCTGAGCAAGCCAGGGATGAGGTATGCACCCCCACCCACGAAAACCCAGGAGACGTGACCTCAGCTGAGCCCAAAAGGACAAGCACACATCAGTCAGGTGCGCCTTTCTGAGCAGGGAGTCGGGAGCACGAGTGCCTGGCAGGCAAAGGGCAGGGCATAGTCAAGGGAGGCTATACTCCAGAACAGAGGTTCTCAACCTGCCGGTCGTGACCTCCAAAACATCAGAAAACATAGGTATCTACAGTTAAATTTCATAACTAGCAAAATTACAGCTATGAGATAGCAATGAAAATAACTTTATGGTTGGGCGTCACCATGACAAGAGGAATAGGATAAGGGGTCACATTGTAAGGAGGGTTGAGAACCACTGGGCTAGAAGATGTAGAAATTGAAAGAAGAATGTCAAGACCCAAACGGAGGCCTATAGAGAGAGCCAGGCTTGATGGAGTGTGATCGCATGCTAGACAAGCTATATTGCCAGTCGGAGAAACAGGCCTTAAGAGTAGGATCTGGGCTAAAGACAATCAGATCAGAATTTCAGAACACTCCGCTCACATAACAAACCTGTACTGAGTACTTGTCAAAAGCTAGGGCTACAATGAGAAGCAGAACAAAAAACTGCAGCCTCCTGAAAGTTCATTCCAGACGTGGAAACAGTTACAAAAGTAACTACTTAATCAGAAGCATGGAAACAG